AATTTTTTTTATTTATTACACAGAGACGGCGGGATTTGTGGGAAAATTGTTCAAGGCGCTTGCAGATGGTTCTTATAAGGCCAGCAATTCAAGTCATGCCAATAATGATGAGCAGTCCAGAGGGTCTAATGGCTATGACGACGAGTACAGTCGACGGCGTGAACGCAGCTACTCGGACGATGAGGACGAGCAGCGGCGATATAACAAAAGACGTCGCGACGATGATCGCTCTAGGGAAGGAGACATCAAGAGGCATCAGGGAAGTCCCAGGAGAGACGCCCGACGACAGCCGTATCCACCACGCGAAGGAATGCGAGGAGGTCCCATGGGCGGACGCGGACCGTACGGGATGGGAGGCGATCGCCGTCGGAATTTTCCTCCGGAGTGGGGGATGCCACCGCAAGGCATGTGGCCGCCACACTTCCCACCCCCACGTGGTGCTGGGTACCCTCCGGACTTTGATCCGAATATGTATATGTCGGAGAATGGAGGTATGATGCCGCCCCCACACATGATGATGCATCCGATGGGCGGACGTGGCCAATACTTTCCCCCTGGCGGCCGCGGTGGCCGGGGAGGACGCGGTAATTACTATGCAGGACGAGGCGGCAAGGATGGAGAGAACGGCGAGGCCCCCACTGCTAAGACTACTCTGCACGTTAGACATGTGGATCCCAAGTATGTCAACATGACGATGTTGAGTCTGCACTTCTCCAAGTTTGGTAACGTGGTGAATGTGCAGATGCGGCCCAGTGCGAAATGTGCTTTTATTCAGTATGCGACTGAGGAGGAAGCCAAGAAGGCCTTCCACTCGCCTCTCCCTGTGTGCAACAACCGGTTTATTTCAGTAAAATGGGCCAAGCACGACGCCCAAAACCCCGAAGAAGCCGCTGATCAGCTCGAAAACGCATCGGCAGAAGCAGTTGGAGAGGATGAAGCTTCTACAGGAGGTGAAGCTGCGGAAAAGAATGTAGAAGCGGAAGGGGAATCTGCTGAGTCGCTACCTGAGAACAATATGACGGCCGAGGAGCTGCGAGTTGCAGCATTAGAGAAGGGTCGAAAGGTACTGGAACAGAAGCGTGAGTTGCTGGAGAAGCAGCGCGCGTTAAAGAAGCAGAAGGAGGCGCTGATCAAGCGGCAGTTGGCTCAGCAGAAGGAACTGCTGGAACGGATGAGTGCGAACAGCTCGCAGTTCTCCATAGCGGAGAAGCGCGACCTCTTGAACAAGATCACAGCCTTGTCGGCCGAGCTGAAGGCGCTAACTCCGCGTAATTCGGCCGTCTCTCCGAGCGCCGCGTCAGGTGAAGCTGGTGAGAATCTTAATGGTTTGAAGGCGGAGCTGAGTGCGCTGGAGGCCGAAGCTGGTGGCCGAGGCGGTCGAGGTGGCCGGTGGTCAGGAGGTCGTGGCTACAGAGGAGGCCGTGGTGGCCGAGGTCGTGGAGGATTCGGTCGGGGCTCGCACACACTCGACAACCGAACTACGATCGTAAAGGTGGCGAATCTACCGGAGGAGGCCCGTGATCCTGTCGTGTTGACGCAGCATTTTGGTAACTTTGGAGCCGTGGAGCGCGTCGTGATGGACGAGACGGCGCCTGGCCAGGGCTTCATTAAGTTTCAGGATCGGTATGCAGGGCAGGCCGCACTGAACCATGGCAACGTTTTCGGCGACAAGCAACTGCAGATGGGGTGGGTCGAGACACAAGAAGCACCGGCAGAGCTGCAGAGCCCGACTGGCGCAGACTTTGCTGCTACGGAAGCTGGTGATGGCGCCGTGACAACCACGTCTAGCGACCAGGTAAGATATTCTCTTTGGCGTGGTCAATCGATGTAGACTGTGAGTGATTAACTTGAGTGCTGAATATTTTGGCGTTGGACAGGTCTCTGCGAACACTACCATGTGATCCAGGAAGCAGCGAGACACAGACTCAGCACCGGCACAAAGCTATGATATAGGATGCCTGCAAATGGCTAAATTACAGCAATACAAGTCGAACATTTTTATGTCAAATCCGTACTTCTCTGTCCCACGAATTT